TTACCAAAACATTGAAATAAATTAAAAAATGAAATAATCGTAGTTCTCATCTCTGTGAGTCTTACAACAAAGCCAAAATTTKTATATCTCCATTATTTCGTGAGATATCGCAATGGGTAAATCCACGAGGGATTCACACCTTGTAGATTGATGTTGAATATTAATTATTATATCGTATGTTTGGTTCTTTTAGTTTATAAATAAATAGCCCCAGATAATATAACGTTACTCAAACGAGTAGCACTGATGCAGATTAATTTTAAATTGACAGTGTTATGTATGTACTAATCATAGAATGCACATAATATATTATTATTAGCAGCTTACGTTCTATAATATAACACCGTCTTTACGTATTTTCTACATGTACGAATGCAATACTGTTTAATAATATACMATTTCATYGCCAATTGGTAGTGCATTGTAGTAAACTTTATAATCGTACAAGTTCTGTAATTTTCAAGTAAGTTTTAGGCTAGAAATTCAGCCACGTCGTAAAACCATAAAATCAGGTATATTATAGTCATTATCACCGAGGCGATGACTTCGTTAGAGGTACTTCGCAAACGTGGTTTTGACTAAATAACAAACACTTCCTATATTATGTATATTGTATAATAATGTAATATAATAAAACATAAGTTTATGTTTATGAGAGGAGTTAATTAATGCGTTTGGTTARTCATATAACTTATATATTATGATAAAAAACACATAGATATTTATTTAAAATGATCTAATTATTAAAATTGTACTTTTTTTTTTATAAAGGACTAGAGTGTTTGAACATTTTGTTTATAACATTTTTCGAATGATGGTAAGTTGTTTTATTGTAATTTGATTAGGTTTATCAGTGTTAGCCRCGAACTTAAATATTTAGTATACAACCAATATTTAATTTTTGTTTTCATGAATGAACGATTCATATATTATTTTTACGAATAAGTCGTTCGGAGAAGTGTTGAAAATCGAGAGGTAAATAAATGTTAAAGATAAGTCGTGTGGTTAAATGTGTGTATATATATATAAATATACAAATACATATATATATATATATATATATATATATATCACCAATACGATGTGGTTTTCAGTTGAATCATGTCAACCATTATTTAAATATTATTATGAATTTACTGATGATATATATTATTACCTACACTATTCAGTGGCAGATATTAAATTTACTTGACTATCGAGGATTACAGTTGTTCAGGTCATTGAAGGCATTCATTATAACTAAAATGTTTTTTAAATATTATTATACAAAACAATGCTTGATTTACAGTTTTTATTGTATAGATACCTATAACTGTAAACAAAAATTTAAAACAAAAACTCAACTTCAAGGGATGTGGGATTATTCACTTATCCCCTCTCAAATACTTACGACACTGATGTTGTACGTATTAGGTCTATCGTCACACATACCCAGAACTAACAAAAACGCACATAACACACAAGTGTGTGTGTGTGTGTGTGTGTGTGTGTGTGTGTGTGTGTGTGTGTGTGTGTGTGTGTGTGGACCCGCGCTCGCACCATACGCGAGCACAAATTCGTTGTAAGGTATGCAAAACACGGAAAACCCATAACGGTAGTGGCGGGTCTGGTAAAGGAG